GCCTTCCTTTACCTTCCTAGTCATTGCTCTTAGTTTGCTCCCTATGAGATCTTCGTTTCACTAAAACCAGTCTATTAAGCATGCTTTGAATATGCTTTGTTCATTCTCACCCCTAGGCCCTTGCTCATTTCCATTATGCTCTTCTGGATATCTGCCCTCTTCCTCCTCCTCTATCATACACCCATCCTAATGCCACCCCATCCATGATGGCATACATTTGCTATGAAATCTTTGCTCACAGCAACCTTCTTTCTGTAAACCTTAACAAACTTAAATCTATATCATTCATTGGGCACACGTGTTGTACTACAAATTGCTCTTTTTCCAAAGGAAATACAAGATCTCCAAGGTCAAGAATAGTTTCCTCTAGCATTTAATTTGTCTCTCCTTAATGGTTTACTTCCACATTATTTTCCCCCATCATAGAAATGCAAGAGACATGGACAATCCAATAATTGAAATACTTCCTGTTCCCCCCAGATACTTATAATATCCAGTTTTCTGTCAAAACCTTTTTTTTCTAACCATTTTATCTGTATTCAGAAGCATCTTTGGTGTACTATGTTGGGCCCAACTTCTTTAAATTCTGCCTCGGTGATCCACATGTCCTGGAAGGCAGACAGGGATGCAAGAATAGAGCCTCCCATCCACACTGATAGTTTCCTTTCTGGGAGAGCTGTAACCTGCACGGGTGTATTGGCAGGTACCATATTTGCTATATCTTTAACTAGCCGCCTGTCTAAACCAGGGAAAGAGGTTGATCCCCCAGCAAGGATAATATTGGAGAAAAACGAATTCCTCAGATCTGTATCGCATTTCATTATGCTGCTGAAACACAACTTATCAATGCCAGGCGTATCAAGTTTCATAAGATGTGGAGAGAAGAGGGCCTCTGGACAATGAAAGAGCTGGTCATGGAGTTTGATCATCTTTCCATCAGGCAGTTGGTAAACTTTCTCTATAGACTCAGGATTCTTGGCCATTTCCTCTTCATAGTTCATTACCACATAACAAGAGGTTTCCTTAATGTCTGTGACAATCTTTCTGTCTGCAGCACTAAGCAGCATGATGCCATGGTCCTTCAACAGCATCATGAGGTAGTTGGTGAGGTCAAGGCCTGCCAGATCTAGCTGCTGGACACCATGAGGCAGACAGTAACCCTCGAAGATGGGCACACACTGGGTAACCCCAGCACCTGAACTCAGCACAAAGCCGGTTGTGAAGCCAGCGGCAAAGAGAGCCAGCACCCCTTGGATGCACATATAGAAGGCAGGAACCTGCAGATGCTCAAAAAACACTTCAGTGATCTGTTGCCGGTTCACCAGTGGGTTCAGTGCTGGCTCGGTAATCAAGACTGGGCCATCACAGGCCTTTAGCTTCAGGTTATGATCATAGATATGCTTCCACATGATCTCCATGTCTCCCCAAGAAGTAACCAGACCACGCTCCACTGGGTAGCTGTAGGAAAAGCAGTAAGATAAATGGCAGCGTTTTTTTTTTTTTTTTTTTAAACAATGGCAGCTTTTAATTTCTCCAGCATCTATTCTCTTCAAGCTTGGATTAATCCCCATATTTATTACCAGTATCCCTTTGTGGGCAGTGACTGCCAGTCAGAAAATGTAACTGCCAGCAAAAGTTAGCATAGCTACTACCTTCCTCTGCAATTTTTGTTGCTTTCCATTTGTCCCCCCCCTTTAGAAGACAATCTTTTTTAAAAAATTGGGAAATCTTTACATAATATAGTACAGTTTTAATATCAATTAACTGAAGAAACCCACATGATGAGGGTACTATGAATTAAGTGATATTCTTAATGAACTTGTATTTTATGAACGATAACTTTATTTATACACCCTTGGAGATTTGTGGCCTGCACTAGCAGGCTGAGACCTTCCTGTTCCCCGCTTCCTTATCCTCGCACCCTTGCGCCCCTCATCTGGACTTACCCTGCCCCCCCGTGGGTCCTGCCTGCTGGGAGACGGCCATACCTGATGGACAGTGAGTTTCTCCTTTCCTGCGCCTCGTCGCCCACATACAGTTCCGGCGCGCCCTTGGCCACCCAGTTCTGGCCTTTGGCTCGGCCGATAATGTTCGGGTAGACAAACTGGGGTTCCCGTGAGCCAGCCAGGCCCGCCTTGATCATTCCCGAGCCGTTGTCGATCACCACTGGTAGCTGGTAGTAGCTCATACCGCCGCCGCCGCCGCCTCCCGTCGCCTGGCCACACCGGCCGCCCTGCCTGCGGGCTGTGCCAGGAGCGCGGACAGTGCGGGCCGCGGACTCCGGGCAGCGTTAACAGGCCCACGGCCTGGAACGTCGCGTCACAGAGGCCCTGGCCTAGCCCCATGAGGCCTGCGCCTGCAAGTGAGGGCAGGGGCCAGGGAGAGGCCTGGCCCATTGACTCTCCAAAGTGCTGCCCACCGATTGCATCTCACAGGGGGTGGGTCACTTGCCACCCCCTGGAATCCAGGGATACCAATATCAGGAAAACCCAACTTTCTTCCTTAACGATACAAATCTAACCCTTTACAAGTGGCTTTCTCTAATACCTCGATGAGCCATAAAAACAATTTTCTTTTCCAAAGCCTTTAAATTCTGCTTAATATGTATCTGCCCAGGGGCCTGCGGAAAGCTCGGGAATGTGCCCTTGAAACTAGCAAAAGGTGGAGAGATTTGACAGGGGAAAGTTGTCGGAGAAGAAGCTCGGTTTCAGAAGCTCTTCTGAAACCCTCCTCAACTTCTGAAAAGAAAAAGGAAAGAATGCTAGGATTTAACCTGGGTTTTATACAGATGAACATTGGGGAAGGGAAGGAAAAATGAAATAAGATAAAGACAGAGAGGGAGGTAAACCTTAAGACACTCCTAAATATAGGAAACAAACTGAGGGATGCTAGAAAAGAGAGGGTGGGGGATGGGGTAATTGGGTGATGGGCATTAAGGAGAGCCCTTCATGTAATGAGCACTGGGTGTTAATATGCAACAGATGAATCGCTAAATTCTACCCCTGAAACTAATACTACAATATATGTGAACTAACTTGAATTTAAATAAAATCTTGAAAGAAAAAAAGTGGGTTTTATACACTTTTATTAATGTTTCTATATAATGGGCAAATACTTTGTTGTGTATCTTTCCTTCAGTTTCTAAGCAAAATGTACTCAAAACCAAAAAGGTAGAATCTTGTTTTGTTTTGTTTTGTTTTGATTGATTGATTGTTAACAATCTCACCCGGTTATCCCTCATGTGATATGGAAGGTCATTCTCATTTCCTAAAAATATTTTATTTTTAGGCATAAGGATGTGTCTGCCTCTTTGCAAGAAAAGCGATATTCCTTAGGTCATGCGAAGTTCAGGTTTAGAATAATTTACGTACACTGCGTGCCAAAAAGTGCATCTTGATGTCTGATTTTTTTACCCCCTAATTGTACACACCGTGTAGAGAATTTTAAAAGGAGGCAAGTTCGAACCTCTGGTTGGCCTATGGAAGCAGGGGAGGAAATTCAGAAGCTATTTACCTGTCTCTCCACCAGAGGCTGAAAGGTCACGTTACTAAATAACAGCGGTGGCATTTGGTGCTGCAAACAGCGGCAAGACGGGGAACGCCAACGAAGCCCGGCACTTGCCCTGCGCTTCTCAGCAATGCGTGGCGGGGAAAGAACGTCAAATAAAACATTTCTTTCCCACAGAAGAAAGTGTACCCAAAGGAAGTGCAAGGAACCTGTGCCTGGTTTTTGCAGCGGTCCGTAGGAGCCTCTGGGGGAAAAAAGCGCAGGCAAATTGAACTTTCGAAATAGTTTCAGCACTACACAATTAGAAGTACAGTCATTTTTCCTTTTCTGTTTGTTTGTTGTTGTTTTCCTGTTAAAAGCTGCCTTAATATTACTTTAAATGCCCAGGAATTTCACGGTACGACATCCATATCGAGGCTATTCTGAACCACAGACACCAGTTAGGTTTCCGTAGTGTAGTGGTTATCACGTTCGCCTAACACGCGAAAGGTCCCCGGTTCGAAACCGGGCGGAAACAACTGCTGTCCTTTTTCCGTACTGGCTTCCTTCAAACAGGGCCGTGGGATTTTTCACTAATTTATTAGTTTTTTAAAAGACAACCTAAATACAAACTTGTGGAACAGTGGGAATTTGAACTTTCGCGTTGGTTATTTTATTCAGCAAATGTTTTTACTGACAGCTTGCCACGCAGAAATGGTTCAAAAAAACAATTCAACTCCCAACCTACTACTGAAAAAGAATGTAATGTACAACCTAGAAGAGGACCTCAAACACGGTGTTAAAAACTTTTAACCCTGTTGCCTCCTTAGCACTCTTTGTATTACAAGTCATTTAGTTTTCCATTAGTTTTCCCCTTCAGACTGCAAATATCCCTAAACGCCAGGAGACCATATTTTACTCTTATTTTATAAATACTTGGTGTAGTGCTTAACACCTGGTAGAGACTCATAAATATTTCTGAATAAACTACTGAAAAGGGTTCCGACAAAATATAAAAGTGGAATCAGAAAGATGAAATCAATAACCCGACTCAACTTTTCCCCTTATAAACATAAGGGTAGTGGCTTTATTCACAAATATGATTTTTACGGACCAGAGAAAAGTTAAAGAGCAAACAGAATGTCGTTGGAAAAATCTCAGAAGAAACGAGTAAATTCCAGTTGACTGTCCTTTAAAATAAAGTCATGAGTAAATATCCTAAAGTCCTGACACAACTTTTAACAAGAATAAATGAAGTTTTGGTTTTCTGAGATTTATGATGTCCACAAGTACTAGGGAAAAATTCACTGTAACATATTAACAGGACTTATCTTACTGTTTCTGCGCCTTTTGTATGTTACGCAGATAACTGGCTTCCTTTTCCTTCACTGTACAAAATCTGAATTCGATATAAATCATGATATTAAAATTTTTCTGGTCCCGACGCAGAACCTTTTCCGGTATAAAGCCCACCTTCCTGCAATGTTGCGCGTGCTCAGTGTACCTTACTGCTTTGCTCCGCTTTGCTGCATCGCAGACTTGTAACAGGTAAGGATATCCTGGAAACTAGGCTACAGTCGGCTGATGCAAACAAAACCCAGGAGGGCCCCAGAAGCTTTCGGGCACGTAAACTGAAAAGGGGTGATCTGTCTCAGCTCGAAAATCTCCCATGGCTAGGAGCCTAAGTACACAAGCTGTTTGCACTCGCGGGGTCCCGAGGAAGGGGAGGATGATGGGAGAAGACGAGAAACTACAAGCCCCAGCATGCAGTGCACAATCTGGCTCCTGGAAAGAGGGCCTCCGTGCGGCGCCGCCCGACCGCGGGCCGTAGGAGAGATGCTGACTGTCGGCCGACCACAGTGTTCAGAATGAGGAAGACAAGTGGGGCGCTATGAATGAGCCCTCAAGTCCCGTATTCATGACGTTTGCGGTTTCGCGTGGGGGCCCTAGGATGCTGAGGAGTGGAATTTCTGTGGGCGAGTCTTGTCTGTCCTCCCCGGTGCCGGACCTCCACAGTCCCAGAGCCTCCACCGTTTCCATGTGACGCCTGGGCCGGATATGATGTCGCCGTAGAGGAAGAAGGAAGAGGCGGAGCGGGCGCGGTGACGTCCTTCCAAAATGGCAGAGAGAGCGTGAAGAAACTGTTCCCCCTTGGATTGCTCTAGGTGAGTTCTTTTTTCACCCCCCAGCTTGCCAGTCCCGCTCTCTCCAGACGCTGGGCCATTGGAGGATAGGCTTCTTGGAGTTCGAATTCAGGTCGGGGCGAAGGTATTAACGCGGAAAGCCTGGGGAGGCAGCCCCGTGTTGGCCTTGGCCACAGCCTCTGGTATGGGAACTTGAGGTAGTGGGAGCTTGGCGAAGGGCAGTGCGGCAGAAGCCGGGAGACACCGGCTTCGGTTGTCACTCTCCGTTGCGGTCGGGAATGGAGAAGTGGGAAGAAAGGGGGTGTGGCCTCCTCCGGGCGAGTGACGGAACCTTGACAACTCTTGGCTCTGCTCTTTCTCCGCCCCGTGGGCAGCCGCCTCGCGTTTTGAAGCAGCTGTGCACCACGGAAACTTAACAGGTTTCGGTGATTCGAGAACAATTTTAAAGAACTCGTACCGTGTTTTTTTGCCATCTGTTCAAAGGAGGTCATTTCTTAGTGGTTCGTTAAGTTTTTTCCCCAGCATGTGCATGCGTACTGAGCTTGAAAGTCTGAAGGTTCAGCTGCTGCAAAAACGTGAAATTTTGCGGTGTTTTTTTTTCAGCTTGTGCAAGTGTTTTCATTCATCGCCATTTATTTGTGTGTCCAAAGGATTGTGTTAATTGTCCAAGATGTAACAAAGATATACAGGAACTTACTTTCAGCATTTGTAACTATTCTGTTTGATAAGAATTTTCGGGGCGGGGGAATAAATGAGGACTGACTTTGTTTTTGTCCATGTTCTGTCCCATGTCCCTTCTCCCCTTACCAATTGCTTGGGTGAAACGTTTGATGAAAACTTAGGGTTACTGACTTACTATTTCTTTTTGTCTTTTAGAACAAGGGTAAAATTCCATTCTGATATCAAAATGCAGTATTCGCACCACTGTGAGCACCTTTTAGAGAGACTGAACAAACAACGGGAAGCAGGTTTTCTTTGTGACTGCACCGTAGTGATTGGGGAATTCCAGTTTAAAGCTCATAGGAATGTGCTTGCCTCATTTAGTGAGTATTTTGGTGCGATCTACAGAAGCACTTCTGAGAACAATGTCTTCCTTGATCAGAGTCAGGTGAAGGCTGATGGATTTCAGAAACTGTTGGAGTTTATATACACAGGAACTTTAAATCTTGACAGGTAAGGTACACATTTTATTTTCACTACAAAAGCTGGTCAGCAGTCTGTAGAGCTAAAATATATTTGTATTTTTTCCCCTTAACTTGGAGTCTTCATATAGTCATGTGCATAATGCTACTGTTGTTTTTAATAAAGAAGTCCGTATTACTGATTGGGAATGAACAGACTACATTTCTTAAGCACAAAAAGCACAGGTGTTAATAAGATTAAAGCCTTTTTTCTGACACATTTGATTTATCTACTTAAAGCTTATGATTTCAGTTATGAAAACTTAGGGAACACACACAATGAATTCTAAATGAATTCCAGTTTCTTTGGTCTTTATGTACCTCTTTTCTTCTCTCTTCCTTACTCTGTCCCTTACTTCTTAAGGTGCTTGAGGTAAGGGAGTGTAGATGAAGAAAGAAGGATGCTTCTCTGTGTTCGTTTAATAGTACTCCCATTTCTAACCATAGATAGCAATGTGCAGGACCTCTTCCTGATCTTGTTTCAGGACAATAATTTACTTGGAGTGTAAATGGCAGGTGACTCCTGTCATCTCTGTAAAGCTATCAGTACTAATGCTTAAATTAGATCCAAGGTGCTAGAAGGCTTTTCTGAAATGCTTAATGCTCTCACTGCACTACAAGAAGTAGGTTCTGAGGAATTTGATAATGCAGGCACTGTGTCTCCCCCATGCATAGTGAACTATATAATTGGTTTAATACTAATGCATTTATCAGTTGTGGAGAGAAAGGTGGAGGTGAAAGAGAAACCAATCAGATTACTCCTGTTTTCTTTCCTCCATCTCTTAATGATGAAAGTGTGAACATGACTAGATCATAATCTGACCTAAAAAGATTATGGGCTTTAGGGTTAGATCCAGCCTGTCAGTCGCTGTGTCTCTGAGCAAGATGCAACCTCTGAGGGCCTCAGTTTCCCCATCTGTAAAAATGTGATGGTAATAACTACCTTGGTGTTACTGTGAAGATCAAGGATCTACTCAAAGGCCCTTCTCCCGATGAACATTAGTTTCATTTATTTTCTCATTTCTACTCTCCTCTCTCCCTTTAACTCCACAATTTTTGGAGAAAAATTAGGAAAGAAACCAAAAGGAAACACCTGAAATTCTGCCACCCACTGATAATCATTGTTAACATTTTGATAAATATTCTTTCATTCTTTTCCGGATGATCTTTATATATATGCATATACACATTAAGCAGAATCCTTCTCTCTGTTTTACACTGCAGCTTATTGTGGAACTATACTTCTTTAAAAAGCTAGAATCAGGATGTTCCTTAATCCTTTTGAAAAGGAAACATTCATACTATTTGGAATTATTTTTAAATTTTGGTGTAATGATATCTTTGAGTCAGTTCTGTATGAATTGATTAAAGGAACAGACCTTTGTCATAGATTAACCTACATGACGAATTATTTAAATTTACTGAGTAGTTGACTCTACAGGTGCCTCTTATCTATATTTAGAATATGTACTATAAAATAACCACAGAACTAGTCAATTTTGGTTGATCTTCAATTTAGTGGTTTCCCTTTCTCAATTAACTTTTCCAGAACAATCTTGAATTGATTTGAACACACTGAAGAGCAGCTTAACTTTGAGCCTTCATGCAAAGAACCAGTGTGAAAAAGAGCCAGATTTTTGCTCAATCTTTTTTGGTACATATCTTCTTTCCTGAGAACTAGTTGTTTGAGCCCAGCCACAAATGTGAGACGGCTTACCTCAAAAGTAGAAAGTCTGTACAACTTAGTGATTAAATTTAGTGAAAGAAAACAAAATAATAAAGAATTAAGTGGACTCATGAGCCAGATTTCCTTGGTCAAATCTTAGTTCTAACACACTGTGATCTTGTACAAGTTACTTTCTTTGGACCTCCGAGCCTTCATTTGAATGTAAAATGGGATTATTACAGATTGCATAGATATGTCCTAAGGATTAAATGGACTATTCATGTAAAGCGTTTAGCCATATACCTGGCAATATGTAATTAAATGACTTTCAGTGACTGTTCAAAAGATGAAAGCAAGTTTGCAAGCAGTGTAACTTCATGCTTGTAAACAAAAGCAGTTATTGATGTAAACAAATGCTGATTGATTCCCTTAACTGTAACTGAGATTATAGGCTGTCTGTGAAATAGATGAATAATTTGTACGAAATACTGTATCAGTTCTAAACAATGTGCCACTCAGTGCTAGTTTGTATTGGTCTTAAAGGCTACCAGACCTTGTTACGTGTTTGGTGGTTCATTTTTATGGAGCACTAAGCACAATTATAATTGGAGGCCTAAGTATAATAAGTGATAAATTTGGTTTCATTCTAGTGGTATCTCTCATTTATTGTAATTTAATAACAGACTATGTAACAAAATTAATAAAAATGCTTAAGGAAAAACGTATTTTTAGAAAGTGATAATGCTACTGTATATATGGCAAAAAACATTTTGTATAAAAGATGAACAAGATTGTGTTTATATTTGGGGCATTTGTGCTACATCTTTGCAAATAGAGAATTAACTTCATTACAAAGATCATTCGTTATATATTCCAAAATTATAACCAAGGGACATAAGAAAAGAAATCTTTAAGTAATATTTTCTTATCTAGGGGAAAGACTCCATTTGCAAATAGATTATACTCCAAAAGTTTATTTATAGTATATTTAGGAACTTTAGGTATATTTTCCCAGAAAACAAAATGTTCCCTAAACTTGTGATTAGGTTTCCAAACTGGCCTATAAACTTACTTAATCATTAATGAGCTGAAAAACGATTATGTATATGATGAAAGGCAATTTTTTAAAAGCCAGTGTAATGTTAAATTAAAAAAGAAGAAACAAGTGGCACTTGGAATAAAGACGTTTTCATTAGATGATGAGAAAATGGATAGAGATCTGTAGATACTGTACTATACTTTCAAAGACCCGAGTGGTTCATGACACTAGTTAATTTTTAATTTCATTTCAAATTTTACTCCTTTTTAAAGAAAAAAAAAGATGTATTAATAGCATTATATTTATATTATCAGCTATGACTAAAGCCCTTTTCTGGCTTATATGTATAATGAAGAGGGAAAAGGGAAAATATATTTTTTTTCTGAAGAGTTAAATATCATTCGGGGAAAATGGCAAGTAGTAAGGTTACTTGAAGGGTGTGTTTGTGTGTGTGTATGTATATCTGTCCTCCGATAATTAAAAGAATCATATTTTTTAATTAATACCGACTCAACTCTCAGATTTTTTTAAATAAAGATTTTGTTTATTTATTTGAGAGACAGAGGGAGAGCACACAGAGGAAGAGAGAGAAACAGGCTCCCTGCTCAGCAGGGAGCCAGATGTGGTGGTCACTCCCAGGGCCCCAGAATCATGACCTGAGCTGAAGGCAGATGCTTAACCAACTGAGCCACCCAGGCGCCCCTCAGCTCTCAGATTTTATAGCTAAGAAAATCGAAGTGCCTAAAGGTGCTGACTTACCCTGATTAATGGACATTGTAATGCTAGAGTAATCAAACAATTTTTCACTACATTATAAGCTTCTGAAGGGCAGGGACTATTTGATATTTCTTAATATCCCTCCTAGTGTACCACACATGGTAGATGCTCAGTAAATACTGACTGGAATGTTGAACAGGATGAACTTAAGTCTTTTTATATAATTCTAATGATGACAGACTCTCCAACTAACATGAGTTGAGTAACACACACACACACACGCACACACGGGAGGGTTGTTAGACCTTAGTGCATTCTAAATCCTTGTTCCTTCCAAGTGTAATCAATAAACCGGCCGCATTGGCATCACCAGCAAGTGTGTTGGAAATGCAGACACTTAGGTCCCATCACAGACCTCCCCACAGAATCTGAATCTACATTTAACAAAATACCTGGGTGACTTAGATGCATGGGAAAGTTTGAGAAGCACAGTTAAAGTCCCTCATAGGGGAGCAGAGAAAGATAATAGGAAATAATTTTTTAGACTCGCTGTTGCCAGTCCAGAAAAGGTGGTTATATCTGAACAGGGCTCAGGATAATGGGAGGAGGCAGTAAGTTGCCAACAGCTACTTTTGTGTTGCAAGTATTTTTTAAAACACACAGTAATTTTAACATTTTCTTTTTCCATAGTGGTACATAATGTAGTTTGTAACCATTTTTTTTCATCTTTTCAAGTTCTGCAAAACTGGAGATTTTTGCCTACACGTTATTCTGAATGAGTGAATGAGTTTTCGTAAATTTGTTCTTCTAGTTATGCCTTTTTCATCATTCTGCTTCATTAGGTTTTTAAAAGACATTGAAATATATGTGCAGCTCTGTTTCACAAATAGTTTTTCTTTGTTCAGAATATTGTCATTTAGCCTTGTTTCCTTACAGTTGGAATGTTAAAGAAATTCATCAGGCTGCTGACTATCTCAAAGTGGAAGAGGTGGTCACTAAATGTAAAATAAAGATGGAAGATTTTGCTTTTATTGCTAATCCCTCTTCTACAGAGATATCTAGTATTACTGGGAACATTGAATTGAATCAACAGACTTGTCTCCTTACTCTACGAGATTATAACAGTCGGGAAAAATCAGAAGTGTCTACAGATTTAGTTCAGGCAAATCCTAAACAAGGGGCTTTAGCAAAGAAGTCATCTCAAACTAAAAAGAAGAAGAAGGCCTTCAACTCCCAGAAAACAGGACAGAATAAAACAGTGCAATATCCCAGTGACATTTTAGAGAATGCATCTGTTGAATTATTTTTAGATGCAAATAAATTATCCACACCTGTAATAGAACAAGTTGCACAAAGAAATGATAATTCAGAACTCGAATTGACGTCAGTTGTGGAAAATACTTTTCCAGCACAAGATATTGTGCAAACTGTTACAGTGAAACGGAAACGTGGAAAATCACAACCAAACTGTGCTCTGAAAGAACACTCTATGTCTAATATAGCCAGTGTCAAGAATTCTTATGAGCTGGAGAGCTCTGGGGAAGAGCTGGATCAGAGGTATTCCAAGGCCAAGCCAATGTGTAACACATGTGGGAAAGTGTTTTCAGAAGCCAGCAGCTTGAGAAGGCATATGAGAATACATAAAGGAGTTAAACCTTATGTCTGCCACTTGTGTGGAAAGGCATTTACCCAGTGTAACCAGCTGAAAACGCATGTAAGAACTCATACAGGTAAGACTGGTTTGTGGGAGATATAATTGCTTTTGTACTGTGACTGAAATAATACTTTCGTATAGAACATATTAATATGGAGTGTTGACTATTTGTGACCAACATTTGGTATATACTTGCATTCACAAAGTATTTAGCATATTAGATTGTTGAAATTTTCTTTTTAATTGTGACCAAGTATTTAATGGTGGTTTTATTGCTGCTGGTAACTCTGAAGTCCTAATGTATGAGGTCTTTGTACCATTTTCCCTCAGTTAAAATAAACACAAACTTGCTTCTAGCTTGCTAAGTATTTAACAGAGACAAAGATTAAGAGAACTGATAAAGAGACAAAGTAATTACAACTCAGGACAGTTCTCAGACTTTGCCAACACATCTTACCTTCTGCTTCCTAGACTTTGTCAACTTCTGAACATGTTTCTTAGAATTACACACACATTCATTCCTCAGCCTCTACATTTACCTGTTGGTACACTTAGATTTGTACATTTTAAGATGCAGTGTGTATTTCTCTCATTGATCACCTTTCACTATTATGAATTGAGAAACACTGATTTCTTTTAATTCTACCAATGTTTTCAATAGACAATCCAGAAAAAATCCTATTTGTTTTTTACTTCTAGCAGTTAACGTTTTCTGAATACTGAAAATAGTACTGTTATGAACTCTTTTGAAAGCTTATGTGGCTCAAGCAACTAAAACAGAGTATCTCCTTTTAAATATAAATTTTATTTGCTTGTTCTTTTAGGTGAGAAGCCATACAAATGTGAATTGTGTGATAAAGGATTTGCTCAGAAATGCCAGCTGGTCTTCCATAGTCGTATGCATCATGGTGAGGAAAAACCCTATAAATGTGATGTATGCAATTTACAATTTGCAACTTCTAGCAATCTCAAGATTCATGCAAGGTAAAAAACAAAAAAATAAGTTGTTTGATCTTTGAGTCTGTCATTCACCATAGTCTTTTGAATAGACTACTGTATTAGCACTCAGGACAGTAGAGTTCTAATTGTGGCTCCACCATTAAATTTTCTTAACGTAGTCAAGAAACCAGAAGGAAGCCAAGGTGACTGGAGAGGAATAAATAAGGGCGAGACATAAGGTCAGAATGGTGATAGAGCATCTAGATGGTATAAGGTTTTATAAGCCATTATAAAGCTTTTACTCTTGAGATTGAGAAGTAGGTGATGTATTTTGCTTGCATTTTAAGGGGATGACTCTGGCTGCAATATTAGAAAAAGAATGTAAGATTGCGAGAATGCAAGCAAAGTTACCAGTGAGGAAGCTATAGATAAAACTCAAGTGAGAGTGATAGTGATTCAGGCCAAAGTGGTAACAGTGGAAGAGATAAGTAGTCAGATTCTGGACATATTTTTAAAGATAGCACAACAGAGTTTGCTGCAGATTGGATGTGGGGTATGAAAGAAGGAAAGAAGAGTGGTATCCAAAGATGATTCTGAGGTTTATAGCCCTGAGCACCTGAAAAAATGGAATTACTGTTAATGGAAATGGAGAAGATTTGTGGATAGAGCAGTTAAAGAGGGAGTAGAGATCTGAACATGTTAAATTTGAGGTGACTATTAGACATCTGAGTGGATATGTACATTGGTTATGTAAGTCTGTAGTTCAGGGGACTGGTTTGAGCTGAAGATAAAAATTTGGGAGTCTTGGGCGCCTGGGTGGCTCAGTTGGTTAAGCGACTGCCTTCAGCTCAGGTCATGATCCTGGAGTCCCTGGATCGAGTCCCGCATCGGGCTCCCTGCTCAGTAAGAGGTCAGCAGTGCTCTTGACAAAAGCAATGTTAGGAGAGGCTAGTAGAGAAGAGATTAGTAGAGAAGAAATGAAAGTAGAACAGTTGGAGACTCAAATTTTTGATAAAGGGGAGCAGAGAAGTGGAGGAGCAAGAGAGATCAGGGGTCTTTTTTTTAAAGATTGAAGACATCAGTATATTTGTATGCTGCGATACAATGGGATGGGAAAAGTGAATGGTGGAGGAAATTGCAGGAGTAAAATCATTGAGTAGACATGGGGGATAGGATAGTATCTTCATTATGCAAATGGGAGTAGCTGGATTCAGATGAACTGTCACCCTCATGTTAGAGTTAACAGAAGAACAGCAAATACATAGATGCAGATGCCTATAGGTAGAGAATTGGGATGGTGGAAATTTTCTTCTGATTGCTTAAATTTTTCTCAGTAAAAGAGGAAGCAAGGACATCAGCTAAGGGTGAGGTTGGGTGAGGAGGTGCTGAAGGTTTAAGGAAAGAGTTTTGAAGAGTGAGTGAATGGACAAGTGAAAATAATTGGGGTATTAGGGGCACACTTGACAACCATATGAATATGATGGCACAATTTTTTTTTAACTGATCTTAGAACAGATGTTTTGATAACCAGAACATGTACATTGAAACTGTTGATTTTAAATACATATTTTTGGTCTGTTAAGATGAAAGAAAATACTGCATGAAAATTATATGAAAAATGCTTATTATATAGATGGGACCCAAATTGTTTTACTTACCAGCATATAACTTTATATTTATTTATGAATAGGAAGCATAGTGGAGAGAAGCCATATGTCTGTGATAGGTGTGGACAGAGATTTGCTCAAGCCAGCACTTTGACCTATCATGTTCGTAGGCATACTGGAGAAAAGCCTTACGTGTGTGATACTTGTGGGAAGGCATTTGCTGTCTCTAGTTCTCTTATCACTCATTCTCGAAAACATACAGGTAAGAATTTGACAGAGATGTTTAAAATAAGGAAAAGTTGTAAATAAAAGAAAGAAAAAGGGAAATTGAGCCCTTAAAGAAAATAGATTATAGACTCTGTGTTGTATATCTGTTGTGTTTGTGCTTGTTCAGTTTGTGATTTTCACATAAATATTAGCTGTAAAAGCAGATAGATTTTCTAGAGTACTAACGGTGGTTGGAATTTTTTATTATGTAACTTATGTACATTAACATCAGAGAGTTTTGACAATATATAAACTTGAGTTGAGACATATTTTATGACCTTAGAAAAACTCCTTAGCCTCTTGTTTTACTTTCCTTGGATGAAACTGTAGAGTGAAATTATGGGGTGGGGGTGGGCTTAGGTAGAACATTGATTTTTATGACTTCTTAGGACTTTTCCTACGCAGACATTCTAAGATTTGCAAATTAAACAGATACTTCAAATGCAGAGTATCAGTTTTGAAGCAAATTATACTCAAAGATTTTCAGTTTTGATAGGGTACCTACCTTTTAAAACAGATCTTTCCTAAATAATCTTATTCCTCTTAATAATATAGTAGATAGCAAGAATTAAAGTAATGGATTGATGAATTTTTAATCACATGTTTGTAATCATATAAAAATTGAACTTCTTGCCCAACTCTAGTCTACTGGAAGGATATTTGCAGAAATAAAGTTTTATTATATGAAAAGCATCAGGTCTCATGAACAGTGTAAAATAATTACTAATATTCATCTAAGTAGGATCACACTGAAGATACCTCTAAAGTACAATATATAAGGAGGTTTTAATTTAAATAATATTTTAGAACAGGTTACTTTAGATTATTGTAATTGATAAATATTATATTGGTATAGTACACCACTTCGCTATCTTTTATTTTCCATCTAGGTGAAAAACCATACATATGTGGTATTTGTGGGAAAAGTTTTATTTCCTCAGGAGAGCTCAACAAACACTTTCGATCCCATACAGGTCTGTGTTTAGGGAGAACGTATTATTTTTGGTTCTCTCTAATTTCTTTTTATGTAAACCTTGACTTTTAAACCATTATGGACTCTATGGTATCTAGTCGTACTCTACCTATAGCAATATTTTCATGTATAAATATCAATTTTTTACTTTTTTTTTTTTTTTTTTAGTTATTTGGAGTAGTAGTAATTAAGTTTGGTCTAGAATTGTATAGATTTTCTAATATGCCAGATAATAATAGTTTTTAGATGGTTTGGATTAAATTGCAGAGGTGTACCAAGAAATGAAAAGGAATAGGTGGATAATATATTTTCTTATCAAATAGTGTTCAGTAAGCAAGTTTTCAGAATGAATTTTAGTATTGACATGTTTCTTGTAATAGTATTATGTAGTATGAAGAAAAACGGAACGAATAAAGGAAAATGCCACCTCGAAAATGTACTGTTGTGACTTTTTCATTTTTAAAATTATTCCTCATAATTCCTATCTAGAATAGTGTGAGCACCTACCTAGTAGACATTTAATAAACGTCTATATTCTCATGCTCCTCTGTTTATAAAGTATTGAACAGTTCTTATTTCAAAGGAATTATAATTCTGTAGCATTTTATTCTGTCACTATTTTTAAAGGATTTTCTAATTTGTAAGCTGCCAGAAAGCAGAAACCATAATTACACATTTTTTTCCCTTAGCTATTCCTCTTAGGGTCTGGCAGATAACTGGCACTAATGAAATGTCTAATAGAAGTAAAAGAGTAAGTTAAGTTTCTGTTATGAAAATGCTCCATTTTCCCAGAAATGGGGATGCCTTGTATAAAGTAAAGGAGTGCCTAATATGTATAGAAGTTTTCATTTCACTGTATTATAACCAAGTGATTAAAAAGGTCATTTGAAACTAAATTTAAACAGTATAGTAATGTTTGCACTGTGTTCATAGACATTGATATTTTTGTCTTAGCAGCTTCTAAAATAGTGAGTTTAAACTTTTTAACTTGCTTTTCAGGAGAAAGGCCATTTATCTGCGAATTATGTGGAAATTCTTACACAGATATTAAAAATTTAAAGAAGCACAAAACAAAAGTCCATTCCGGTAAATGTTTGTGTTTTATAAAAATTTGGTGCTCTCATATTGGTGCTATTCCTAACATGTTGAGATGCACATTATAACAGTTTAAATTAGATATATATTTTTGAAAACTAGATATACACATATTAGGTATGTAGCTTTATAATTTGTAGGTAAGTTCAGTAAGAATTTCTTTCCTTCCATATTGACCTTCTAATAAACAGTACTTGAAATATTTCCTCTTTTAAAAACCTGATTTATGAAGTTTCAAGAATGAAAGAATATGAAAAAAAAATATGTATCACTATTCTCCATATTAGAGTCTGGGGATTACTATAGTTATGTGAAGAAAAGGGCATTATGAACCCTAATCCAGAAACATATAAGAGGGAATATAATAGAAACATATAAATAGGGAAATAGGTAGCCCCAAATTGTTACATAGAAATGGAAAGCGAGACTACAAAATTTTGAATCTGTTGCTTAAAATGAATCCTTGAAAAAGTTTCGCTGTGTTTGTCATGATTAGAAACAAAATACTAGGCTTCTTCAGTGTGTAGAGATGTTAACAAGTCTGATAGTGAACTGAAACATAATAAGGATTAAGTCAGTAACTTCTGAAAACTGCAGTGTCATTAATTCAACAAACATTAAATGCCTCTGTCTCCAAAGTACACATAACTGCAAGATATATGAAGTTGAACAAGGCACATTCTTAGTCCTCAAAGAATTTACAATTTAGTGTGGGAGACCAGAAAGCTAAATAACTGATTACAAGATAAAATGTAGGGTATAATAGAGACACAAAAGTGCTAAAGAAGAGATAAAGTCCTTCTGAAGTAAGTCCTAGAAAGGCTTAATTCTAGGAAACTTGAAGGAGAGTTCAAAAGATGGAGATAGGAAAAGGAGCAGTTGTCCCAGGCAGAGAGAACATTGTAAAGGGAGTCTTTGGGACAAGGAAGTACAGGTTATATTCTTGGCTGGTTGAACTGAGAGTAGTTTGGCAAGAACAGAGAGAATTATAATTTTATGAAAGCTAATAGGCAGTTTTGTCTAATGAAGACAGGGAGATTGAAATCATGTAAATCCTTTGAGTGACAGGAGCATGGTAAACTCATGGGAAATTTGAAGGCAAAAATGTATGATAGTGTGATAATCACTCCCTAAGGAGAGCAGAATTTCTCACTTCTGAAAATATACAAAAGTGCCATACCTCTGAACTTGAACTCAGAGAATAGTATGACTTACTCACTAATATGTTCAGTGAACAAATTTATTATGTGTATAGCACTGTTAAGTACTTTGAAGGAGTTAGAAAAACATAACTTGATATTTGCCCTTAAGGAATTTAGTCTGGTTGAGAATTCAGAGCATACTGAAGTAGAATGTTCAGTAGCAATAAGAGCGATAGATGTTACTAGGTGATACATGAGAAATTGACAAGCGAGTGATAAAATAGATAACAGCTCACCCTAGTCTAGAACAGTTAAGTCCATTTTAAGTTCAAGTTGGTGCTTGAACCTAGGCTTGAGGCCCAAATTGGATTTGAATAGATAATGAGGGTAAATCAGCATAAGAGAAACAGCGTGAGTAAAAAGTGTGGAGGTTGGAATGCAAGTTCTGGGAATGGTAAGCAGATTTAGTCTAAGGGTTTTTGTTTTGTTTTGAGAGATAGCATAAATTTGTTTCCCTTCTATTTCAGGTGCAGATAAAATTCTAGATTCTAGTATAGAGGAGCATCCCTTGAGTGAACAAGATTCCATACAAAAAAGTCCGTTATCAGAAACATTGGATGTGAAACCTTCTGATATGACTTTACCGCTCTCTCTTCCACTTGGAACTGAGGACCACCACATCCTTCTGCCTGTCACAGATAATCAGTCTCCTACATCAGATACATTGTTGAGATCAACTGTGAATGGGTATTCAGAACCACAGTTGATTTTTTTACAGCAATTATACTGACTTTGTGAGGAATATGGAATTTCTAAGACGTCTCTGGTAGTAAACATAAACATCTCTGGTAAGATGCATATATTCATATTAAATTACCATTCGAGTTGTAAGCATTATTTTTTTCATTCACTGAAGTAAACACCTGATGCTGCATCGTAACTGCAATGCTTGTTATGTCTAGATTATAAACACAACGTGTAAGAAGTGAATTATACAGTAGTAGCACTATTTTGGATGGATAAGTTATATTTTCTTTTAGAGCTGCCTTACTTCATTTTTATTTTGCATTTTAAATTGCCTGTCATTTATTGAAGTGGAATCTTTCCGTTTATATGAGTCAGTTTTGGCCTGTGGGATTTTTTAGTTTTTTCCCCTCAAAATTTAAGCAAAATCCATGATAGTATCAGGCCAAGAGTGTTGCTGTTACTAAGCCCCATAGATCAATATATAAACTATGGCGGAGAAGTAAATTTTCATATTTCTACTTAAGAGAATTTAGGTACTGAATAAGAATTGTGCTATTTAGTATATTCCATTGGAGGTAACTTTTCTAATGAATTTAAAAAGTGTTTTTCTTAAAAGCTAGAAAACTGTATGTACAATTTTGTTCTTTTAGAATTCAGTATTCTGGAGAAAAGCAAGGGTCAGTACTTTCGACTTAACTGAGTTATCTGAGACTACATTTGCAAAACGAGTTTTAAATAAATCATTTGATGTTTTTAACTTGTTAAAAGACAGTTTCAAAATTGATTCAGGTTATGTTTTAATAGGTTTCTACATTACTGGTGATGAGGAAAATATACTGAGTTTTGAAAATTTTTGATAAGCCTCTCTTATACCTGCTACTCTCTTTTTAAAATACTAAGTTCTAAAAAGAATTTTTTTTTTTTTTTTTTTAAGATTTTATTTCTTTATTCATTAGAGACAGAGAGAGAGGCAGAGGGAGAAGCAGGCTCCCAAGGAGCGGGAAGCCCGATGCGGGACTCGATCCCAGGACCCTGGGATCATGACCTGAGCCGAAGGCAGACGCTTAACCATCTGAGCCACCCAGGCGCCCCTAAAAAGAATTTTTTAAATATAAACTTAATGCATACTCTAAATCACTTGGCCTCTGAATTGACACATTGTAATTATATAAAGAGTTAAGAAACTAGCTTCAATTATAAGTGAACATTTGAGTTATCATAAAACCAGTTTATTAACTATTTTATGTTTAAGTTTTCTATAAGTTTTGAGTTTTAAAATTTTATAAATTAAACCACAACATTTGGCTGTTGTCATAGTTTCGCAGTAGTCTGTTTCCTTCCTGCTGAACGTAGAAAATTGAGTATCCTTCTGATACTTACTACCAGTCTTCCCCATCCCACTTTTCCCACATAATTGATTTATTTTGCTGCCTAATCTTTGGACATTAAATTATCAGTTCCACAGAGTCCATTTCCTATACTGCTGATCAAACACCATGGTGACATTTCTTATTTCTGCCGTGCATTAGCTTTGCCTTATTTGTTTTCTGGCTTTAAACTACACCTATAATGAAGTTAATGTCAGGGTTTTTTTGGTATTGATTTCTTTAATTGTATTTTCTCTGGTGTCCTAGTCAGAGGAACCAACTAAAAGAGGATGTAGTAAAACTTAATTCTTGTAGAGATTGTCACTATTTCCCAACACACTCAGCATTTTCAGAATGGATTGCCACCAATGGGACTGACTTAACTCAATAGATTTTGAACTGTTGCCTTTGTATAATAGACATCAAGCTTAGTATTTAATTATTTATCTAAGAAATCTAATTATGCATGTGTATTAATATACTGGCTTAAATACAATTTACAAAGTTATAAAATGTTCAACTAATCTATTCTGGCTTAAATTCAATAGGAATTTATTGGAATGTGAAGAAATTAAAGAAAATTAAAAGACTCAGCCTCTTTAAGAAGTCTGCTGAAATGGAGAGGTTATATTTAATTCACATCTTCATTAATCCAAGCATCTAATGAATAAAATTTCAAAAACTGCTACAGTGATGTCAAAATTTTATGAGAGCAGTAGTTAACCAAATTTCCACTAATGTGATGGTAATTAGCATTTTGCATAGATTAGTCTTCAGATTTATTATTTTTAATATTATTGGATTGGAATGACTAAGGTTGATTTACTGTGCTTTTTCTTCATCACATTATGTTTCATAGCTAAAATAATTTTATTTTAAATTGACATGGCTTGATGCTCTTCCGGAGTGACATGTAAGAAGTCTTGAAGGCTGAGGTTCCTGTCTTGTCGCTCTCATAATACTATACTCTTCTTTATCATAATGTGGATATATTTCAGATGTATCTGGTATCGTCCTAACACTCGTAATTATCATTTTTATTAAGCCTATTTTTAAATATATTTGTTACAATGCAGTTTGTGGAAAACTCTATTCTTAATTAAATATGACTACATTTTTGAAAGTCTGTTTAGGATGTTGAAGATCTTACTGAGAGATTATTTTCTAAAATAATTTTGTATGTATTAGATTATTCCTACTGTATTGTTAGATTGTAGACTTTTTAAAAAGAAACCATAGATTATATATAAATGATTTTTTGCTGTTTTTAAATGGTACTTGTTTTATGTTTAATTTCATAGGATGATTTTGATAGACAAATTTTAGAAAAAATTTTTTTAAAGAAAAGGTTCTATCAGTTCTCTTATAAAAGTAGTTTATCACTTCTGTATGTTTCAATTCTGCAGAAATTGTACAAACAAGAGTAGTTGAAATGTACATGTATAAAGACAATATACATGTTCTTGTTTTTTAAAATATCCTAGAATAATAGTTCTAACATTTGATGCATATCAGAAACATTTTAAAAATAACACTATCCAAGCCCCACCCCACCTTAGGCCTATTGAATCAATACAATCTCTGGGACATACATGCTAGAAAAGCTCCACAGGTGGTTTTAATGTAACCAGATGTTGAGAACTAATATCCTAAATGTTTCTTGGTGTTCTTTCGGGAAGCATTTAAAATTGAAGCTCTTGATATAACTTCCATCTTATACTCAGATTTTGAGTCTTTAGAATTTCCCTAGAAATACCACCTAGTAATTTCTGCATTTTTACTCACTATTTATGAACAGTATGGAGATTTAGTTATTGGAACATTAATTTTTTGAGACAATGGTATGGTTACTCTTTTATTCTCTGCAACCCCTGCCCCCATTTATTCAAGAGAGATTTGTTATATTCGCTTAAGGAATTTGGTAATTATCAGGTAGACATAATAATGATCCAGAAATAGGGTATTTAATTTCAAGAAGAATATACTTACATCATGGATGTGAACAGATACTTGGATTAAAGTGTCTGGCCAGTATTTCAAATGCTGGAAAATTATTGAAATCAGGATACATAAACCTAACAAAGATAAGATAAATGCTACCCTTAAGTCAAATGGGAAAGACAAACCTGAATATAATGGCAGTAAAACAAGACAGAATGTCAAGTGCTATGGGGGAAGGCAAGGAAGAGTTGAATGGACAGAAAAAGGGCCATTGTTCCTCTGGATAGACAAACCAGAAGAGATGGATGACGCTGATGGGAAGGAATGTGCACACAGCCAACTGAAATAGGCCAAATGAAGAAAGTATGAAACAGGGAGGAGATAGGAGTCAAAGAAATGTCCAGCACTATGCCTTCACCATCTTACATGAAATAGTCCTCTGTCCTTAACCTGTGCTGAAGGAGTAGGATTGGATACCCAGGTTTTTAACCCCTAATCTCACACATCCAAGCACAGTTGATTGCTGAAGGTCAGGGATTAGAGGATTAGACAGCCACATTTATAACACATGATGCCATACTTATGTCCACAGTTTAACTGAACACCTTACCAGAAGGAAACAATTCTTAGTTCTGACCGAGCTAGTTAGATTCTCAAGAATTTGAGCTCTGAAATTCAGAGACTGTTAGGTTTTGGTATACGTGTAAATGAAAAGATCATTTAGAACTGGCCCAGAGTGAGTGAAGCAAGCCAAAATCTAAAAGAAATTATGAACAAGCAGAGAAAGCTGATCTATAGAGTGAAGCAAGGGAATAAAATAGGTTTACAGAACCAAGCCACTGATTACCTGTGAGAGAGAGGTGTGGCCTTGGTGTCTGGCTTTGCAGTCCCATTCTTGAGGTGGCACAGCTCTATGCTTCATTTCCTTGTCCCTGGGTGCCAGTGACTTTTTCCTGTTATATCCTTACAGTAAATCCCCCTTCTCTTACACAGGCTCGAATCCGTTTCTTTTCCTTGTAATTAGCCCCGACTTAGACACCTAAGTTTTGATCCTTAATGATTGAGAAGATGGTGATGCCTTTAACTGTGATAGGGAAGATATGGAAGACATTTATGGAAGAGAAGACTTTATTTTAGATGCACTGAATTTGGTTGGTGGTACAGCAGCCACGTGAAAATGTCTAGCAGTCCTTGGAAATGGAGCCCAAAATCCAGGAGAGGTTAGAGCTAGAGATACAGATCTTATAGCATAAGGCTAATAATTATTGCAATAGAAATGATTAAGGCAGCCCTGGGAGATGGTATAGAACAAAAGCTAAGAAAATCTTTGGGGAAATACATTTAAAGAATGAGCAAAAGATAGTAGCGCCTGGGTGGCTCAGTCATTTAAGCATCTGACTCTTGATCTCAGCTCAGGCCTTGGTCTCAGGGTCATGAGTTCAAGCCCCACTTTGGCTCCACACCCAGTGTAGTATTTAATTTCAAGAAGAATATACTCTTAAAAAAAAATGAGCAAAAGATGGAGATAAAAAGTGATAACAGAAAGAACACCAGGGTAGTTCAAGTTTTATGAAGACAGAAGTGGTTTTGTACTAGTACAGAGACTAAATAGGGTGCAAATCAAAGACAACTTTAGGTTGGGTAATTGAAGCATGATGATCCTTTGAGAAGGCAGTAATAGTAATAGCGGGAGTAGAAGTTAGGTGGATATGGTTCAAGTAGTTAAGACATTGAATACTACTATTTAGCTGAAAAGCAGTGTGGAGCAGGATTTTTTTTTGTCAAATATGTAAAAAATATAAAGCATGTCATTACTTGTTTTCAAATCTGAAACACTGTAAAATAATGAACATAGTATGATTTGCAACACTGTAATCAGAGGCTGTATCTGAACCTGATCTTAAAGGATGGTAAGAGGAAGATAGATGGAAACTTTATATGGTTGCACATTTACTCATTACAGTTCAGATGTGCAGAGGAAGTGGAGTTTTCTGATGGAATTTGCATTTCCTTCCTCTTGAGCTCCCACCCCATGGGAAATCAGGAAAAAATTAACTTTTAGTCCCAGCCAGTTTAAAACTTAGTCTGATATAAAGGAGATACAATTTATAAGATTTTGAGGTAATGCTTAAACTTTGGGGAGAATGCTCTTATTTCTGTCCTTTGTCTTCTCTTTAAACTGGTGTCCAGATATATGGAGGGGACTTAACATGATATAATGTTATCAGGGAGGACAGCATCTTCATTTCTTCCATTCTCTGGGCTCTGATGCAGTAGGCCACAGCCTGTAAAACATGTGATCAGGTTTTTCCTAGCTTGGTCAGAGCCCAGTAGTTCTTGACTGAATTGGCCTCACCTTTGTTCTAACAAATGTGGAGAACTCTTGGCATTTCTGCAGCTCTGTTTCAAGCAGGCCAGTGTAGATCAGGGTGCAGGTTTAACCTGCCCCACCATCCTGCAGGCTCAAAGTAAGCCTTTTTGCTTCCCATTCATCAACTTGCTTCCCACTCAGCTACCTTCTGAGTCTCCCCTTGGGAGAATATAGAAACTTGTGGGTCCCCTCCATACCACACAAGAACAGAGATTAACCTAGACAAACAAATCTCATTACCAAGGTTTACTTTCGTGTGACTGTGCCCTACCTAGCCTGATGAGGCCACTTCTTTCCAGAATCCTGTAAACTCCTCTACTACCCAGCATATTACAGATCCTTCAATAAAAGATGGGCTGTTGCCACATTAAACATGAATGAATCACATTAATGTTGTACAAAAGAAGTCAGAAATAGTGTGTACTCTAAGATTCAGTTTATATAAAATTCAAAAACACGCAAAACTACGCTGTAGTGTTTGAAGGCAGGAGAGTGGTTTCCTATTGAAAGAAGGTTGGAGGAGCTTCTGGGAAGCCTGTGGCATTTACTATCTTTATCTAGGTCATGGCTGACAGGGATGGGTTAGCTTTGTGATAACTCATCTACCTGTTCACTTAAGATTTGTGTACTTTTCAAGGGGCGCCTGGGTGGCTCAGTCAGTTAAACATCTAACTCTTGATCTCAGCTCAGGCCCTGAGCATAGGGTTGTGAGTTCAAGCCCCACATTGGGCTCCACGCTGGGCATGGAGCCTACTTTAAAAAAAAAAATTTGTGTACTTTCTGAATGATTGCCATACTTCCATTTTAAAAAGTACATATTAAAAAAACAAATTTGAAGAATGAAGAAAACCAGAGCATCGGTTCTTAAACTTTAATGAGATTAAAGACCTGGATTGTAAAAATGCAGATCACCCAAACTATCCTCAAAAGTTTTGATTCAGTAGGTCTGACTCTCAGAATCTATTTTAACATTTGCCTCAGTGGTTCTGATGCTCCACACTTTAAAAATGCTGATTTAGCATCTGTAGTTCAACAAACTCTCCTTAACTCTCTGGACAGATATTCAAGTATAAGAGGTTTGTCATATGGTTACCTGAGTCTGAAATTATTGGATCTCTAATTGCTAGGTGTAGCATTTCCTAACCACCTTAATGTTTTACAAATGTAATGACAGTTGTTTAAAATGTTTCTTTTCTTTTTTTTCCTATAGCATGGTTTATTGCATCCATTAAATTCTGCAGATTTTCAAATTTGATTAAACGACAAAAGACTTTATTCATTTCCTATTGCAGTTTTAACAATACAAAGACGTTTGATTTTCCTGGGATATATAGCCTTTTTAGATACAGCTATTTAGTTCTAGACTATTTAGCATGTGCTAATGTAAAAGAAGTCTGTAAAGAATGACCAGTCTTTATATCTGCAGAGCAGAGATCTTAAAATGGAACTAAAATAAGATTTGAACACACAGAATGTTGCCAAGTAAGGTTTGATAAAACCTAATAAGTAAAATCAGTAACTAGTAAAATCAGTCAGTTTAAGTGTCAGGATACACAACATCATTTATAGAATTCTGTAATCTATACAGTACAGTTTTGTTAGTTCCATTGTAAACATTGGCAGATCTTTTACATGATTTTCACATCAATGGAAGGTCATATTATTTCTGAAATCCGTTACCAGATTGTGATAGTTTTCTTTGATATAACATATAAACAGTATCTAAAAAAAATGAAAACAACTTCAAATCCATTTCACACATTGTTAATTAACATGAACTATTGAGTATGTATTTTTCAACCAATTCCAGATGTTTTAAGATTTTGTTTTTCAGCACAGACTCAACCTGATAGCAACCATCTGTCCTGTCCTGGATGATTCAGATTATCTCTGAAAGCGTGAGAATGGATTTGGTAAGGCATTGAGGTCTTTTCTGGCTCAGTGACTCTGTAACATTAAGTGAAATAATGCCCGTACAGTTTATTAGATGTTCTTCCCCTTACATAGCCACCACTACCCTCTGTGCCCACCCTCCCCCCATTCCTCCCAGGGAGTATAGGAACATGGTGTTAGGTGCCAATTGTAAGGAAAGACCTATAAACCTTCAAAAATAAGTAGTGAGTAGGGGATATTGATCTTAATTGTTTAATCTACTAAAGAAGTGGACAGATGTGATTTTTTGATATGCTGATTAAAAAAAATAAATACAGCTATGTTGAGGAATTCACAATACTTTAAGTGAAGGCCAGTACTTTGACAGCTGTAAAGTTGACCACTGCCTTTATTCCACCTCCTCCCTGTCGACACCTGGAGATAGATGGTATTTTCTTTTAGACTGCAGAACCTCAGCTTAATTTAAAGTACCCTTTTAAAACTGTCCACATGTCTTTTTTTCACACTTTGCTTGATGAGTAAATCATTCAGGTGAAGCAACCTCTTCTTGGCATGTGTGAATAAATTTGTGAATGTAGGTCTGTAGTCAAAGCATCATAGTGTTTGTTGCCTCCTCATAGGAATCTTAATTTGAAAACGAGATTGGCCATGGACAACAGTAATTATTTGCCATCAAATCATTAAAATTTTACTGGCATCTTCTAAAAGAGAATGATCTTAAAAAGTTCACTGGCATTACTGACTTGTTTAGAAAGCATATATTTATATGTATTTGTAATATATATGTTTATATTATATCTTTGCCTGTATTTGTGAAATTTTATCAACAATCATAATTACCTAAATATATAAAATATTTTTTCAACTTCTAAACCCTCTGAAATTCCCTGGCAGTCTGCCACCTGAACCCTTTTTACCACTTCATGACAACTTTCAGTTAGGATACCTATAATGACTTTTTCTTTTTATGCTATTTTACTACTTAATGATATTTTCTTTTTAAAAACAAATTAGTTTAATTCCTTGATTTTTTTTTTTCCCCCTCCATGGTTAAAATTTTAGTTTCTATTCTTTTTTCCTTCCAGTCCTTTTTTCTTTTGTATTTTAATTGATGTATAGTTGACATACTAGTTTCAGGGTTACAACACAGTGATTTGACAATTATATACATTACAAAATGATAAGTGTAGTTACCATCTGTCACTGTACAATGTTATTACAATATTATTGAATATGTTCTCTATGCTGTACTTTTTCATTCTCATCACTTATTATTTTAATACATTTGGAAATTTGTACCTCTTAATCCCTTTCACCTATTTTGTCTGTCCTCTCCTCTCTCTCCCCTCTGGCAACCACTAGTTGTTTATGAGTCTCGTGTTTGTTCATTTGTTTTTGATGGCACATATAAGTGAAAGCACATGTTATTTGTCTTTCTCCATCTGACCTGTCTCACTTAGCATAACCTCTAGGTCCATCGATGTTGCCAATGGCAAGATTTCGTTCTTTTTTATGGTTGAGTAACATTCCACTGTGTATCTGTACCACATCTTTATCCATTCATCTATTGATGGACACTTAGGTTGCTTCTGTATCTTGGGTATTGTAAATAAAGCTGCTATAAACATAGGGGTGCATCTTTTCAAATTAGTGTTTTTGTTTTCTTTGGGTAAATACCTAAAAATGGAATTGCTAGATCATATGGTAGTTGTATTTTTAGTTTTTTTGAGGAACTCCATACTGTCTTCCGTAGTGGTGATACCAATTTACATTCTCATTAGCAGTCCATAAGGGGTCCCTTTTTTCCACACCAACACTTTTCTTGCCAACACTTATCTCTTCTCTTTTTGATACTAGCCATTCTAATAGGTGTGAGGTGATATAATTGTGGTTTTGATTTTCATTTTCCTGATGATTAGTGATGTTAAGCATCTTTTCATGTGTGTTGGCCATCTCTATGTCTTCTTTGGGAAAATGTCCATTCAGGTCCTCTGCCCATTTTTAACTAGATCATTTGGGGGGGTTTTTGGCATTGAGTTATAGGAGTTCTTTATATATTTTGGATATTAACATCTTATCATAATGTCAGTTGCAAATATCTCTCCCATTCAGTAGGTTGCTTTTTTGTTTTGTTGATTCTTCTCTCACGGTGCAAAAGCTTTTTAGTTTGATAATAGTCCCAATTGTTTATTTTTGCTTTTTTTCCCCTTGCCTGAGGAGACCTATATCCAGAAAAATACTACTAATACTGATGTCCAAGAGACTACAGCCTGTTTTCCTTTAGGAGTTTTGTGGTTTCAGGTCTCTTACACTTAGGTTTTTAACTCATTTTGAGTTTACTTTTGTGTATGGTATAAGAAAGTGGTCCTGTTTTCCCAACACCATTTATTGAAGAGACTTTTTTTTTTTAAGATTTTATTTATTTGACAGAGCACAAGCAGGGGGAGCAGCAGGCAGAGGGAGAGGGAGAAGCAGGCTTCCTGCTAAGCAGGGAGCCTGATGCGGGGCTCGATCCCAGGACCCCGGGATCATGACCTGAGCCGAAGGCAGTCGCTCAACCAACTGAGCCACCCAGGCGCCCTGGCTATTCAGCGTCTTATGTGGTTCCATACACACTTTAGGATTTTTTTGTTCTAGTTCTGTGAAAAATGCTATTGGTATTTTGATAAGAATTCAATTAAACCTGTAGATTGCTCTGGGTAATATGGACATTTTAAAAATATTAAGTCTTCTAATCCATGAGCACAGAATATCTTTCCATTTGTTTGTGTTGTCCTCAATTTCTTTCATCAATGTCTTTTTTTTTTTTTTTAACCTTTATTAATGTTTTTAAGAAAGCTGTACACCCAATGTGGGGCTCAAACTCACAACCCCAAGATCAAGAATCACGTGCTGTTCTGACTGAGCCAGACAGGCATCCCAGTATTTTATTATTTTTGATAGTTATACATAGGATTGTTTTCTTAATTTCCCTTTCTGCTGTTTTGTTATTAGTGTACAGGAATGCAACAGATCTCTATATTTTGTATCCTGCAACTTAACTGAATTCATTTATTCTAATAATTTTTTGGTGGAATCTTTAGGGTTTTCTATATATAGTATGTCATCTGCAAACAGTGACAGTTTTACTTATTCCTTACCAATTTGGGTGCCTTTATTTTATTTTATTTATTTTTTTGTCTTGAGTGCTACGCCTAGGACTTCTAGTACAATACTGAATAAAAGTGGTGAAAGTGGACATCCTTGTTTCTAATCTTAGGGGGAGAGAGCTTTAGCTTTTTACCATTATGATGTTAGCTTTGGGCTTGTCATATGTCTTTTATTATGTTGAGGGATGTTCCTTCTGTGCCCACTTTGAGTTTTTATCATTAATGGATGTTCAATTTTGTCATTCTTTTTCTACATCTACTGAGATGATCATATGACTTTTATCCATTTTGTTAATGTACTTCACATCAATTGATTTACAAGTATTGAACCATCTTTGCATCCCTGGAATAAATATGACTTGATCATGGTGAATGATCCTTTTAATGTATTTTTGAATTCTGTTCACTAATATTTTATTGAGGATTTTTGCATTTATGTTCATCAAGGATAATTGGCCTATAGGTTTTTTTGTGTTTGTTTGTTTTATAGTGTCTTTGGTTTTGGTATCAGGGTAATGCTGGCCTCATAGAATGAATTTTGAAGACTTTCTCCTTCTGTTTTTTGGGATAGCTTGAGGATAGTTAGTATTAACTCTTTGTTAAATGTTTGGTAGAATTTACCAAACATTTGGTAGAAATGTTTGGTAGAAAAACCATTTGGTAGATGGTTTTTGTGAAGCCATCTGATCCTGGACTTTTGTTTATTGGGAGTTTTTTATTACTGGTCCAATTTTGTTACTATTAATTGGTCTGTTCAGATTTTCTATTTCCTCCTGATTCAGTTGGAAGATTGTATGTTTCTAGGAATTCTTTCTTCTAGGTTGTACAATTTTTTTTTTTTAAAGATTTTATTTGACAGAGACATGGTGAGAGAGGGAACACAAGCAGGGGGAGTGGGAGAGGGAGAGGCAGGCCTCCTGCCAAGCAGGGAGCCTGATGTGGGGCTCGATCCCAGGACCCCGGATCATGACCTGAGCCGAAGGCAGACGCCTAACGACTGAGCCACCCAGGCGCCCCTAGGTTGTACAATTTGTTGGCATATAGTTTTTT